CTTTGATGATACAGATGTACGGATTATGGCACCAAGATCACAACTAATTGATTGATTTTAGCATTTACTAATTGTAACCTTGGAAATAATGTATCACTGAAATATATTGCAAATAAGTCATTTGTCATTTTCGACATTTCTAATTTGCTATCTGAGAAACCCAATAAAATTCTCCCCATTTCTTGGCATTTTTTGATTTTCTATTTTTGGGAAGAATTAAAAATTTTTTTGGAATTTTTTTAATAGCTCAAAAAAGTAGTGAAATGTTGAGTGGGATGATTGAGAAATGACGAGACAAAGACGTCTCGAAATCTCGAAATGCATTCTTTTTACTTGAGGAAGATAGAGAGAAATATTTTTGCAAGTTTAATCCTTGCTCATTTGTTTGATTTTCATAAAATTTTCTCTCTGATAATTAACAGAAGTTAAATGCAAAATTCTGCATGCTTCATTAATTATTATGTATATAATATTAATAAGAACGAAAAAAAACAACATTTCTTAATGTTTATTTTACAAATTCAGTATTGCATTTTTCAATTTTAATTTAATTTTTTAATGTTTTCAAATTTGATGAAATACAACTTTCTGCTATCATTATCATCATCATCATCTTTTCATTCTTTTGTTTTGTTATTGATGATTTTTGAAGTGACCAAAAAATTTGGAAGTATTTTGGATATCATTAAACGATGTTTTCCGCATATGTCGATAAAAGGTAGTGGAATTTGATGGTATCAAATGATCAGATCGTATCAATTCGGTATTTTCATACGGTACGTTTTCAATTTCATCATCGATATCATTGACCTCTTGACCGGTTGCAACATTAAGCATTCTTCCTTCAATTTCATCAATATCGTTAATTGTATCAAATGAAAGTAACGGTAAAGCAGTTGGTTTTGCCATCATATTTTCGAAATTCAATTTCTGTGGCTCTAATCCCTGAAAATTAATTTGTTTTATTAGGGAAAAATAAGCAGCACATTGATGAATTATTAAATAATGTAGTAAATAAAAGAATATGTGGATGATTGATTCATATCACCATTGCAAGTTTAATTCGTTTTTTGAATTTTTGAAATCGTGATGGAGGTGCTTGAAGCTCTTTGTTAACATCAGAAATATTCCAGAAATTTGGCTTTGTTACATTATCGATATTTTTTCCGCTTGCTTTGTATACCTGAAATACAAATACAAAGAGATCATTTATGAGTATATTTGCAATCAATGAATTAATTAAAATTTAATAATTTTTAAAGTTAAAATTGAAT